TGGGTAGGAAATAAATGTCCTCGACTTAAAAATGTTTGTATATCTTTGGCGATTGCTTTATAAGATATGGCGAATTATTTACAAACATGACAATCAAAGTAATAATCTCTGTTTACAAAAGCATCACTTTTTAATTTAGGTGTAAATAAACTGCCAGAATGAACACAAAGAAACATAAAACAGGCTGAAAATAATTTTTAGTTGTACAGATTAAAAAAAAAATATTTTTATTGTTCAATTAGATCAAAAACTTTGTGATTTATTTATAAACTCGGCGACTGAACAAACGTCCCTTTTTAATTTGACATTAAAAAGCACTTCAACACTAATGGAGTTGCCATTACTCAAAGTACTTTTTTAATTTTCGGGAAACGCGTAACAAAAATCAATCAAACGGTCCACAACAAACATAATGGCGGTTAGAGTGTCGCAATTCTATTTTTAAATTGTACAAAATGAGTCATGTGGGAGACATATGAAGATCAATACTGTGAATTGTCACCACCGTAACACATATTGTTGTTTCTGTTACTTCGCAGAGAATGTGAGGGATGACAATATGTTTTAGTACAACGGTTCTTCCTCTTCTTCGTATTCTTCATTACTGAAGGTCGTGCTTGTCCTGATACGCTTCAACGGCCGTGACGACCAGCTGCCTCCACGCCGTCCTGTCTTCGGTAGTACAAGGGTTACAGCAGTGGAATTCCACGGTTATAAATATTGACTTTAAAGATAAAAATCGATATTTGCTGCTGTTCTAATTTAATAGTGTTTCTATACAAGTATTATAAACATAACCCTGACTTACTTTAGAACTGCATGAATGTATCTCGCGTTGGAAAACAATAGGATTAGATAACGACAGACATTTTCAGACAGCAAACAATGTATCCATTGTCATAATTCTAGACAGAATAACCTTGATTTTGCACTACCGAAACACATGTAAAAACCTATAGTTACACAAAGTTTTTTTTTAAATATAATTACAGGGATGACATTTTGTTTTCTTTTTAGCCGACTTAAAAAAGAAGGAGGTTATCAATTTGTCTGTGTTTTTTTAAGTGTGTTACCGCGTAATTCCGCCCCTGGCGCACCAATTTTGAAAAATGTTTTTTTGATCGAAAGGTTTTGCTTGCAGGTAAGTCCCATTTTTTTTTAAACTCACTAGAAGTTTATTATTTAGGGTTCGGTTTAGCGTGCAGATGTATATAACTCTCTATGTACAATATAATATGAAATGTAATTAACTTTTTTATTTTGTTATTTTTATCTTTTAGCTATTCTTTTATTAGTTTAGCTTGTGTGTAAATATACTTGTAGATTTATCCATCTCTGTACGAAAACTTTAAAATGTCTAATTCACATTTTAACACATATAATTCATACGAAAATATAATTTTAGGACCTAAAATTCGAACATGTTAAGTCGTTAATACATTTATATTTAAACAACTGTCTTTCCCCATCCCGTCCGTGTAGTATTATAACAAAAAACTTAATAAGTTCTTCCAGACTACTTTCTACATCCATGCCAAATTTCATCGTGATCCGTTGAATCGTTCTGGAGATACCTTCAAACAAAAATCCATTTTTGTAAACTTTCGCATTTATAATATTAGCAAGATTAATAATAACACTATCCAGTTGATTTAGATTTTGTTTATCCCACTAAAAACAAAAATATATGAGTGTTTGTATCATAGTTGTAACATTTGGCAGTAAAAGGTGTTTAAACGTCAGATTTAAATTATAGAAGGGTGAATGGCATCATTTGGATGTGTGCCCGTCACCTCGAACTGTTGAACATTTAATTATTACTATATCTAATTGCACCTGCCAAGTATCTAAGCGGCCATCTTTAATTCAGAATACTAACAACTTTGTTATGGAAGAAAGAATGAAAAATCTCAAGTGAAATAATAGTGGCCTGTTAATAGTTTCTGAATAGTTTATTAAAGCCGATTGTAAAAATGGGCAGTAGGTTTTATATATTTCTTCATATATATTTGTTTACTACAGATGTTAATGTGATAATAAATAAAATGTCGGCTTAACTTTTGAAGCCTATTGATAATATTTTGAGGACCTATTACGTATTAGAAAGGGTAAATAAAATAATATTGATCCCTTAATTATTATAAATTATCTCCCTTATCTCACTAATATTATGAATGCGAATGTGTAGATGGATGGATGTATGTTTGTTACAATCACTAATATCTATAGAACAGGTCAATGAATCTAGATTAAATTTAGCATGGATGTAGATCATTTTATAGAAGAACACATAGGTTAATTAAGTTTTTTATATTAAATTTCGGACTGACGAAGTCGCAGGCGACAGCTAGTAGGACATAATCAGTTTATTTAAGAAATTAAATTAGTAAAAAATGTTTGGTTTATCTCATTCTCATTTCGACGAGCTCTTTCTTTGTCTTTCTAAGTAATGAGGTTGTGTTATTGTATGAGAATTTTTTGAACGCAACGAACGAGTATGTTCTCATATCATGCTTGAGTATTTCCTCGAGACAATTTTTATTATGGCTGCCGTCTGTGGTATTTTAGGGCTCTTTTCATACTCTTAGGGTGTACTTGATTTTAGTAGACAAAACAAGGGCGCAGACTGTGGGGATGGAAATAAGGGTGCGTCACATGTATCATATCTTCAGATACACTCTTGGTTATTTACCGGAGTGTCTACATTGTCGTGTTGAAGACAATTGAAACTGAGAGGATTTTTCTCGCTTACTTTTTTATTTAGACACCAACTAGCTGTATCCCGCGACTCTGTCCGCGCGGGATTAATAAAAAGCTTAATAAGTATCCTATGTGTTCTTCCAGACTATGTTCTACATCTATGACAAATTTCAGCGAGATCCGTCGAGTCGTTCCAGAGATACCTTCAAACAAACATCCATCTTTCCGTCTATCTAACATTCTCATTTATATTATTATATTATTATAGTAATATAGAAAGATTAAAAATTACATTTAACACTATTCTGTGTGCTTGTTATTTAAAAACAGTTATTTTTAATTAACTACAACCTTTTTGCACGTAATTTCATTCATTCTTTCATTGCCTTCGATTCTATTAGAAACTAAACTCGTAATACTGGTCTGTATGTACAATTAACATGGCTTTCAATGTTAATAAGTGAGCTTTCATGTTCGTATAATGTGGTCGGAACGATATGACTTTCAACGAAGCTTTTGAAGACCATAATAAAGTCATAAAATATCTAATAACATGCCGATTTACGATTTAATAACCAAGTAATTGAGTTATTGTAATTATTTCTGAAAAAATATATATTTTAAAAATTGATATTTAATTTTGATTTTAATCTTATTAATATAATAAATACGAATATATGTATGGATGGATGTTTGTTAGAAGGTATCTCCAAACCGGCTATATGGATCTCGCTGAAATTAGGCGTTGATATCGAATATAGTCTGGAGGAACATATAGTCTACTAATTAAGTTTTTTTAATACGGCGCGGACGGAGTCTCGGGCGACACCTAGTACATCACGAAAGAGGAACTATTTGAGTTGATTTTTAATAAAGGATACTTCACATATTAACTTTCATGGTATACTATAACTAGCGAGCCAACACCTTTATCCAAAATTTATAACAAAAAAACGACGAGCCTACATGAATATTCCGCTGGCTAAGCTCATCGTTGACACCCCGTCACTTCTGTCCCGCACGTGACCGCGATCCGTGCCGATAGTCACTGGCAGCGTGAAGAATTTACGTGACACCTTATGTATTACGTAACATAGAATTGTGAGATGTTTGTTGCTTGATCATTCAGTTGTAGTTATCATAATGTTATTCACGTATAAAAAATATAAAACATAATAAGACATATTGGGAAGAGATATTAAAATTGTGTTATCAATTTTTATAATATTTTTTTTATTTTGATTTGTCCCGTTCCGTCCCGTCAGGTCTCATCCCGTCCTGTCCCGTTCCGTTCCGATCTGTTTTGTTTTGTTTTGTTTTATTTATTAATTTTTCAATATCCAATATTTACAATACAAAAGTTAGTAACATCTAATCTATGCAAGAATGGCTTCGGGTCATGATTAATATTACATTTTAAGAAGTGTACTCAAAAAAAAAAAAGTTTTAAAAGTGCTTAAGATTAAAAATGCTAAATTACATTTTAAACATGCCTAATGAAGGGTGGAGACATCAATTATTCTTTTGGATCGGATTAATGGATTTAACAAAGACTTTGGATACTATCGACAGACGTCTTGAAGTAAGGTAAAGAATGAGTAACGATTTATTAATGCTCGCTGTCGCCACAAAAGAATGAAAAGACGAGAAGTTTATCTACTTATATACACAGGATGTTACAACTCTGTTCCTACCAAAATAGGTCGTAAGTTTATGAATAAATTTTTATGTTTGTCGAACTTTGACAAACAAGATTTATATACCTCAATCATAATTAAATAATTTTATGTAACTTTAAGACAAATTTACTATTTTCAAAGTTTTAAAACTATAATAAAATAATGATTTAAAAATCCTTAATTTGAAGCTCATTTGACTACGAAGATGTGGACGTATGAAATTCGAACAAGATTCTGAGCAAAAAGTGATATAACCGTGTCATATATTTATTAATGCATGTCTGCAAATTCGAAATAATTAGCATACATGAATGGTTGACAAACAGATAATTTATTTCAGCACACGCTTTTTTTGAGAAATGTTTTAATTTATGTATTTTCTTAATTATTATAGATATCAAAATTAAAAGGCAATTCAGTAAGTTACAAAGCAAAGTTAAAAAAAGAATAGTCAAACAAAACTTTTGTCGAATGCTTGTGCGTTATCAGGAAAAGTGACGAAAAGTCTGTGCGGAAAAAACGTGAAAATTGCTGTCCTTTGGTCTCTCGCATACTTTATAGCTCTGTGGTAAGGAATGAGCGTGGTGTGCCTCTCGCACAGCTTCAGTGCCCCGCCAACGGCCGTCGATGGTGGACGTGTTGCGGTATCTCGTGTTTGTGTTAGCGAGTGAAGCGACATTACGATGTTCTGTGTCGTGATTAATTTTGTGCTTGTTTTGTGAATTTAGAAATTAGTGTATTAATTTTGTGTTGGAACTCAAGTTGGAATCCAGCCGGGTTACTGGCGGTTCTCCAAATAACGTAAGTTTTGCTATTTCTTTTATACTTTAGGAAATTGTTGGGCACTATCTGTGAACTTTGTTTCCATCCTTTTGTAGGTGAATGAACAAACTCGTTCGAGAAGTGTTCGGTTTGTTGCATTTATTTTGCGTGTTGTAGGTATTAAAAAAATAGAGTTATAAGAAAATAAATGTATCTGTGAAAAAATGGGTAACGTTATTTTATAACGAATCATTTTAAATTAGATTAATTCTTAGTAAAATAAAATATACTCAAGTTGCAGTTAATTAAATATTTTAATAGATTTATTGTAATAATAAAAATGAAATTTATTATATTTTATTTTAATTATATCTGTTTTTAATTATAACATTCCAAAAATAATCTAGTTGAAATTACAGTGTTATAATAACGTTTTAATACTGATTTAATCCAAAATTTAATTATTGTTGTACCTGTACGGTAAAGTGGAAATATAACCAATCATATGATTTATTTTATTTGATTTCAAATATAATTTAAACAAAATTAACTTTACTATTTATTTGTTGTATTTCCTAAGTTAGTGAAGTATAATAAATACATTTTTTTATATGTTCACTTAACATCATTGTGTAATAGTAAAGGAGATCAATCGATTTAAAATGAACGTTACAAACAAATTTGTAGCTACCTACTGTTAATTTGTGGTGTATCGAAGGCGAAGGAATGAAGGGTTTTGGAATTTGAAAATCCATTATCATCACAGTGCGTTGGTTTATTATATTACTAGCTTTCGCCCGCGACTCCGTGCGCACGGAATTAAAAAAAAATCTTAATTAGTAGCCTATGTGTTCTTCCAGACTTTATTCTATGACTGTGTCAAATTTCTATCTGTCCAACTAAACATTCGCATTAATAATATCATAAGATAATTGCGTTTGTATTTTATTTTAACTGTTTTTAGTTATCACATAAAGATTAAAAAGTGAACAACCTACTATCGTATAAAGATGTATGTTGTGCGCATTAGTTGGTACATCGATTGCACATATGCTTTTGTGACGTCAAATGCATTGTCAATATCGATAATAAATGTCGGTAAACGTAAGTGGTTAGATATGCGCATTATTAAACAGTTACATTTAGACTCCATTTCCACTAACGCGTTTGTTTCCTGACGCGACCGTGACTATCATGTCAATATTCCACCTTTTAATCCAAAATAGAAACTATAGTAAAGAGAGACGTGTCAAATTTTATGTTCTATTTTAAAATGTTAAATAAAGTGGTATTACAAAATAAATATAGATCTGCGTTTATCTGGTATTGCTGATGTTCATGGGCGTCCATGAACACCTTGGTGTTCCCGCTGCTCGTTTACCGCCTTCTGTTATATACAAAATAATGTTGCATAGTTACGTGAAAAAGTTTTTTACCGTTTATGCAGTTTGTCTATGGTTGGATTAGAAGGCGGTACAGTCGCGCGCGGTTAATCAATGGTGGAATAGAGGTTTAAACATAACTGTTTAGAAATAATATTAAATACGCTAATTGTTAAAAGCATAAAATTAAAAGGGATTAAAACAATAAGTAACTAATGTAATCTAAGACCTTGGTGCAACAATGTAACAATAATAAAATGTCGGTCAATAGCAACTTCCTTGTTGGCTGCAGTCTACAATGCAAGCTTCGTTTTAACGAAAATACAACTGCAAATGAACACTATTCGTATGTGTGTTTAGATGTTTGGCACGCGTAAGTTGCAGCTACATTTTCAATACTTTCATGTAAAAAACAAATGCGCAGTAATTTTGATTTATTTTTATATCCCCTTTGACGTTTTAAAAATAAAACAAGGGTCACAAGCGGAAGTTTCAAACGACTTTGTTTAGGCTTGGCTGATTTTAATATTAATGTTATTAATGAATCGAAACTCATATGTTTAATTCAATGCATTTGATTTATTTATTTTATGTTTTATAATCTATTTTTAATTAATTTAAATTAATTTTATGAAGAAAAAAAACTGGATTAAATATTATAGATTAATTTTTGTGGAAAAAAATTGTACAAACTATCTATCACAATTCTAATGGTTACCACCATTAGAACAAACCCATCCAGTCCTTAACATCTTAATACTCCTTAACTCTTAATTCGATGGTGTCCAGTGTGACGAACAACTAATAAAAAAAAATTTGCTGCAAAAAATTTCGTCGAATTAAGGGTTAATATTTTTTTCAACACATTCTTTATTTTCTTAAACTTGTTTTAAACTATTCTTTTCATATGTTAATAATTATTTTGATGATACTTAATTAATCATTTGAAATACATTTTGTCTGTAATTCGCAGTTTCATTATCTTTTACCTAAAAACCGACTTCAAAACCGGTTCTCTAGGAGCGAAGGAACAAAAAACGGAATTAAGTACCTTCTTTTTTGAAGTCGGTTAAATACTAATTTGAAAGGAAAGCTCTAAAGTTTCGGTTAGGATTTTGAGATTCGACTGCAATTTAAACATTTTGCCCTTTTGACTTTCGTACTACTTTTTATAATGGTAATCGTGACAAAAAGTCCCGCCGCTTCAAGCCGACATTCTCTCATTGTGGATATCTCGAATTCGAACAAAGCGATTTGCTTTTTCAGTTGAATCGCACAACAAAAGACTCTAATAATTGGTACGTCTGTGCTACCGTCCGATTACAATTTGAATAAGAAAAACGTAAATATATTTTATTACTAAAATATTTAAAATTTTAGCGTACTAATCTGACTAATATTATAAATGCGAAATATTATAAAAGTTTACATGGATGTTTGTTAGAAGTTATCTCCAGAAGGACTTAAAGGATCTTGTTGAGATTTTACACGGATGTAGAGAATATTCTATAAAAACACATAGGCCACTTATTTAGCTTTTTTTCCACGCAGACGGAGTCGCGGGCGATAGCAAGCAAATTATAATTTTGATTTATAATACGATTCACCTACACACATAACTGTGAAAGAGAATATATGAATACTAAAAATATTAGTTTTTTATTTTAATTTAGACTTTTTGGAAATGTGCAAAAATTTTATACAAAATATTTTATCGCGTATGTATTTTATACGATTTATTGCTTCGCTTGAATTTAAAAAAATCACAACTACAATACTAATATTATAAATGAGATATAAAATATACCAATACGAATAATAATTAGTAATTCTAAACCCATTACGATGCTAAATACAGAAGTAAAATACTATTTGGTTAATATTTTATTCTTGCAAAGATAAGAAACATAATCTTCACGGTGCAGCTGCTAGAAATATCAAATGTAGAATATACAGGGTGTATAAATAAAACAAATGGGTCATGCAAAGGTTCATGCAAATGTTAAATCTATTTACGCCGTGAACTTTTTCGGTGTTCATACTATTTTTGTTACAAATCTACTTTATTGCACAAACCGTTTATGTGCAATAAAACCTTTTTATATTGAAAACACGCTTGTTTTACACGTGTAACAACAATACGTGTTACGTTGATTTTTGTCATAGTTTTTTAAATTAGTGTACTTAATAATTCGATTAGCATTCCCCAAGTATTGAGTAAAGTAGTTAAGCCAGAAGTTTAGTAATATTTTTCAGATCAAGACAATTTTTTTTCTCTTATCTTATAGTAATGAACTCTACACGATCTTGTCTACATCTTACTTATATTATAAATGCTAATGTTTAGATGGACGGATGGATGTTTGAAGGTATCACCAGAGAGGCTGCATGGATTTTCCTGAAATTTGGAACGGATGCTAATCATAATACGGAAAGACGTATAGGCTAATTAAGTTTTTTTTTATATTATTTATAAAAGAAATAACTCTTACTTAATACTATTGATTGTAGAAATTAATTGGTATACGATTAACATTTATGGTGTAAAGAATATTGATTTTCGGTGCAATACTAAATATTATTGGTATTATTTCTGATAATTATGTTCAGAGAATCTTAACATAGTTCAAATAAGGTAAGGCGTCGGAACGTGTTTAATATTGATGCCAATGCTTGAGATAATTAATTATAAACACTTTTGTAGCCATTACTTAACACGATTTATTATTTCTGTATCTTTTTGTGTCTTGATAATATATAACATTGATTCACATACTTTCTTCTTATAGTCTCCTTATTTAGTTTAAATTATTGGTTATGGTAAACTACACACTGCTTTTATCTGCTTATGATCCGCCCATTTCCAAATACCACCAAATCTTCCTTGAACTTCAATAGGCATTTTAAAATTATACCAACAATTTAATAACGATAGGTAAAGTAAGTTTACTGATAATGTCGGGAACCTCGTGGCGACATATGTTACCACGAGTTTCCTCTGGACCTGTACAAAACATTTTGTCAACTCTTTCAAACTCGTTCAATAATCTTACTTGTTACTTATATTATAAATGTGAATGTTTAGATGGATGGATGTTTGAAGGTATCTCCAAAACAGCAATAACAGATTTTCATGAAATTTGGCATACATATAGAACATAGTCTGGAAGAATACATAGACTACTAATTGTGTTTTTTTTAATACCGCGCGGACGGAGTCGCGTGCGACAGCTAGTCCATTGAAAGTATCTGTAATTTTCGTTGGTCAGTCTAATTTGAAAAAAAAAAACTTCGGCTACCTGATCAACTGTAAAAAGATCAAAATTTATGCCATTAATTTAACTCTCAATTAGAACATCTTTATCGAATACATTATTCGTCTTAAAGATTATTCCGTGGTGTTCTTTACAATGTACCAATTAAAATCAAGTTCCCAAATCTTATACAGGAATAATATATTTTTTTTACTGAAGGAAATCCACGAATCGTCTCGACTTTATGAATAATTCCAATCTTCACATACCTTCCAAGGACTAAACTGACACCGGCGGGTTATGTTTTCTCGCGTACAGTTTTTATGTATATGGGTTTGTATGTATGTATGACGTTACATTCGAAGTGTTTAAGTCCTTTCGCACGAGTCGGACGCACCGCACG